AAAAAAAAAAATCTATCGATCTTAAGCAACAAACGTGGTGGACTACACGCTACAACGTTCACATACGACATTTTGTTTTACACGATATTTTTAGGCTAGTGGATCTAACTAAAGTACATATATTCTCCGTTGCAGGTTGAGTCATCGAGAGACGCCGTCTATCCGAATCGTATAAAACGTATAGAACCATTCGTGTTCCTAATCGTTTTTGGTGGCTGTGAGCACCGTGAAGTACGAAAACGACGTGCTTAGAACCTGGAAAACGCATAAAGAATCGACAAGAAGAAAACGTTACGTTTCCTCTCCTTATGATATAATTAAATAAACTGTCGATCTCGAATGATGAAGATCGAGTTTGAAAAGGAGAAGAAAAAATGAGAAGTCACTCACCGCTGAGAAACTCTCCAAGGACATGCTGTAGAATTTCGCCGCTGTTATCTTGCTAGGAATTTTGGAACGCATCATCATGATCTGGACGCTTTTACGGAAACGGCTGCCGATCCATCCGCTGTTGTATGCCGATTCGCCTATCCCTTCGCTCTGCGTCATACAAGTCGATGCATCACATTATTACTTCCCTGTAACTCGAACGAATCGCAATGAAAATCTTGAGAGTAATTCGATCATCGATCGATTTGTTTGTACCTCGTCGATCAACCCGTTCCCGCTGAAGCTGAACATGAACAGCTCGAGAATGGCGGAGTTGAGAAAGGTGGAATATTTCATCAGCCGACCCTTGTTCTCCATCATCTGCAAATATTATTTTTTTCTTTTTTTTCTTTTCTTATCAACAACGTTGAGCAGAGAACGCACCGAGGTGATCTGAAATCCGGCGAAGCAAATCAATCCCGTGCTTATGACGAATTGTCCCAAAGCGAGCACGTTTATGATCCTTTCCAAAGTGTCCGCGAACCTGTGAACAGATTAATTTTTATCTTCATGGAACGATTCTTTATACGCGAAAAAATTTCCGCGTCGATCGATTAAAAGAAAAAAGAAAAATGATCGATATTTGATTTTTCTTGTTTTAATTGACGCCAACTTGATCGCTTGCTGGTGACGAATCACGTGATCCCCCATGATCGAGGTGGAGTTAGGATCGGCCCCGTTCAAAGCCTCCATCCTTCTCCTGAGGACGGCAAATTTGCCCGAGCCGTGTATTATCACCACTAAATTGAAACTGGTTGCGCCTGCGATCATACTTCCGCCAAATCCGCCCGCTGTTACGTTGAACAGATATAGAAATTCGAAAACCGGTGACACGGTTTGATTGATGAAGAAATATCCTCGAAATGGGAGCACTTTGTCGCTATTGCCGATCACGTAAATCTGAAAGAAACGTGATGGAAAAAAAAAGGGCTCTTTCAAATTTTCAAAGCGTTTATTTATTTATTTATTTTTTCGAAAGAAGGAGAAAAAAAAGAAGAAGAGGAAACGATTCGATAGCGAAATTTTCCAGTACCTCCAAAACTGGGACGGACATGAACATCACGATGGTTATTGCGACGGTGGTGATAAAATATTTCGCGAGGCGGAAAGCGAACATCGTTTTCTCGGCGAAAATGAGCCGATCCTGGTCCGAGGATGAGATCCAATCCTGTCTCATCGTGTTCACCACGTAGAGCATGTCCTTCTGGTGGAACGAATACACGAGCAAGCGAACCACGCAAAGATAAAAAGCTGTGCAAATTAACGCGCATTCGGTCGCTTCGTCCAGATCGTCTATATTGTGAATCACGTCGGCTGTTACCGCGACAGACATCACGATCACCTGAAAATTTCATCGGTTATTCCACGATTGATACGATATTTCGCGAATCGTACGTGTATATTTGAAAATAAAATTGATGTATTAACGATTGATCGAAAAATCAAAAGTTTCTTCAAAATTGTCCGTAAGAATTTTTGGAGAATTTTTTTCGTCGAATATATTCGAATTATACGATCAAAGATGGCACTTACTAGGAAAAACATGCAGAACAAGTGAAATCTTCTAAACGTAATCTCTATCCAACTGCTATTCTCTGCCAACGGCCATATAGAAATGATTTTTCCAGTTATCATTATTGGTTTAATCAATTGATCGTATTCCTCGTTACGGAACTCACTCATTTTCTCGATATATATGTGTGTGTGTGTATGTGTATATATCTCGAATGAATTTATTTAAAAAAAATCGCACGATTTATGTTAGAACAGATGTTTTTTTTTTTTTTTTGCAATACGATTCATCCGATCAAATGGTTTGTTTCATCGTATTCCGGAGGAACTGCGAAAAATGTCGCGGAAAATATCTAAGGCGAAATCGATCGTAACATAAATGACAGTTATCGCGTAATGGGTGGATCATGACAATTCGTAGTTTACGAAAGTTTATACAAGTAGGTATTACGTGTAACTTCTTTTCGCTGAGACTTGTCGAATAATTTCGTATTCATATAA